AGATGTATCTGTCCACCAGGCAGGAAGTGAATGCTTGCGTGGGAAGCCTTCTCAGAGCGGTGAGAGAAAGTTCCACCTGCATGCACTTTGGTTTTCAATTGCTGCCTTCCAGGGCAGTGAGGAATACACTTCTATCTTTCTAAGGCAGTTTGTAATAAGTTGCTTCTGGAAGACCTAGGAATCTAATAGTTTCCAGAAGCCAAGGAACCGGGGGTAATGTTCTCAGTCCAGAGGAGTTGAGAGAAACAAGAGGACCAGTTGTAATCAAATACCGTGACGATGATACTGTAACAGAGACACTAGGTAAACAGCAGAATGAAGTGTTGCTTCAGTGAACAGTGAAATCTTGGTATTGGTGCATTGGTTCTTTTTGTTTTTATTTTATGTGTAAGAGTATATTGCCTGCATGTAGTTAAAACTGTACACATTGATGATAAACCTCCTTAATTATAACTTCTACTATGAGACGTAAATTGAGTTGAAATCTAGGCATAGATACTTCAGGACCTTCTGCCAGATCCAAGCACTTCAATAAGTATGTGGCATTTTCTGAGAGAGCAAGGCTTCAGAAGTGCACAGGACCTCCCAGCTTCCCGGTCACAAGGTTGGGTGGGTGGTTCTGTGTGATGCTGAGCCTGGACTGCATCCTCATTCATCATTCTGAAAATTGACGAGTGAGAATGAAGATGAGGAAGTCAAAATTCCATTTATTTATATTTAAGACACAACTTTCTGCCCAGAATTTAGCCTGATTGTAGCCTCATCTATTTCTTCTTATAGTGATTTTTCACATATCCTACTTCCTTTCCTTTAAATATTGTAGTATTTCCCTTCTTTGATGTGCTAATTTAGATTGCACATGTATTACTTATATCTTTGTAATTACGAAAGGACGTTTCTTTATGTGGAGAACAAGAAAAACTAACTATGACCAGAAAAGTTTTCATGAGGGAATTGAGGCTCTTATTTTATTTTAAAAATATTTTATTTATTTTTACATTTTATGTGTATGAATATATTGTCTGTCTGCATGTGTGTAAGTGCACCCATGTCGTGCAATGCCCATGGAGGTCAGATGAGGCCCTTGGATTCCCCTGGAGCTAGAGTTACAGACAGTTGTTAGCCACCATGTGGGCCCTGGAAATTGAACCTGGGTACTCTGCAAGAGCATCCAGTGCTCTTAACTGCTGAGCCATCTCTCCAGCCCCTGAAGCTTTTATTTTAAATCAGATAGTTGGGTGTAGCATACACTTTTAGTAGAAGGAAATAGTTAACTGGTATAATTAACTGCATTTGGGAGTCTTTAACATGATAAACATTATGGCAATAAAAACACCTATTGTTTGAAAAAAGTTGATTTCTCCCTCTCAAATTATTTATAGGGGCGATCTTAGGCATTAATTGGGCACATCCTTGAAAGCCTAGAGGAAAGACAAAACACTGATAATTGTTTCCTTTGGGAGGTGTGTACTCCAAAGGCTGTGATTAGATATATGAAAGCCTGCATGTGGAATGCCACCTGATCACAGTGACAAGTGAAACTACAGTGGCCCAGCGAGAGTTCCTATATTTGAAACTGAGTTTAGCAAATTGACATTTTCTATTCCCTTCCCCAATGTTCTCTTATTCTGACAGATCGCTCTTTTAGAACAGAACACAAACCACACATTTATTCGATTCTTATGAAGATCCAAACACAGCGAGAGGAGGTGCTGTGGCTCCTGTTTCTCATTAATACCAGCTGCTGTGATTTTGAAATGCAAACCAGATCAAAATCAGTGCAAGCCCCAGGGGTTTAATTTATATTCTGAATGAACCAGCCTGTTGTGAAAGAACATTTCTTCTTCCTTTTTTTTCTTTTTAAAAGAAAACTTTTTGAAGAAACTTGTATTTGCCCCATTTGATGTTTCCACCAGCCCTGTGAACTAGGCAGATGAAGAATCATCTTTGTTTTATGACAAAATTGAGACAGACACTGAATTGACTTGCCCAGGCCAGTCAGTGCCAAGAAACAGCGTTGGGATTCAGTCTTCTGTGAATGGCAGCATCCCAACCCCATTAGCTCTAGACCAACAGTGCCAGTCCCAATTCTAGAATGTAACAACATTCTAGTACCCTATGAGCTCTTATATATTGGGAGATAGCAAGGACTTTTATAAATTGCTGTTAAATCACAGCTTGAAATTTGCCCTGGTGGGAATATTCCTCCCATGAAAATGAAAATGACCACCTAAAATAGGGTCACTCTTTACCCGGGACTCACCATATCCACCTATTTTCCCCTCCCCAGTGTTGGGGTCACAGACATAGACCACCATTTCTACAAGTGTTGTGAGGATTGAACTCGGGACCCTATGCTTGCTGTGTAAACACTTTATGAATTAAACCATCTCCTGAGCCATTTGAAGAGGTGACTATTTCTTTGTTCTGGTGGGGAGAGAAGTCTGCTCTGCCCTTTAGTTCTTGGATGAGATTTTTGTCTGGGTCTTGGAACTGGATTAATGCACGGGCTGATAAATAAGAGGAAATCTAGGCATTTTTATTAGTTGTAAGATACATGAGGATCTTACAAGCGAGTTACGTCTGAAGAAATGACCCAAGCATGATGCTCTTCTACAGTTCAGGCAGGTAGCAGGGCTGGGGAAGTAAACTGTGGAGAAGTTGCTGAGCAACATATGGGGAGGGGGACGGTGGGAGCTAGTGGAAGGTCACGGCCCCTTCCCAGTTGTTCACTTAGGTTCACTGTAATCCCATTTGGCAGTCTCTGTGGTCAAGGTTATTTTCCAGCTTTGGTGTGTAAAGGACACTCCTCCCAAAAGAACCACTGTGGTCTACTTACTGCATCTAGGAAAATGCAGGTCACATGGTCCTTTCTGCTTGTGAACCAGTGTAACCATTTGGCCTGCTTTGGGATACTGCATCTCTTAACTTCCTCAGTTCCTTAATCCAGAAATTTGCCTTTAAGTAGTAGATAAATGTGAAAACGCTCTCAGGAGAGCTTGAATTAATTATAGTGTTTTGAAGATCTTTATGAATTCTGCCCATTGTTTAAGAGCAATGTCAACTACCAGACTGCGTGACTTTTCTTCCTCTAAAAGTCTACTGGATTTCTAATAGAGCCCTATACATTGGAGCTTAATTACTATTTGTTCTATAGAAACTAATTTTCTTTTTAAGACTACACTATGGTCTTTGAAAAGAGGGACTGGGCCTCTTTGTCTTCTTTCTGGCTTTGAACAACTGTTTAATGAACACCTATTGAATACCCAATGTCTTCTCAGTGTTTGAACAACAGCAGACTCAAACAAAAGTCCTCGCCCTTTGAGAACTAATAGTCCAGTGAAGTCAGGAATGAACTAACAAATGTGAAGCTACATTTGTTGTAAGAACTTTGAAGGTTTGTTTGTAGTTGGGGTAGTATCTGATAGTGTGGTTTTATTTATTCAGGAAGGTCAGTAAAGGCTTCCCTGGGGACAGTAGTGATTGATTAAAAAGAGATCGAAAGAGCCAGGAAGAATGAACTGGAAATTACCAGGTCTTGAATATCATTTCTTTAATGCCTTTTCAATCTAAATTGTTTCCTTCTTATATCCCCTATGTATACCCTTAACATTAGGAATGTTCTCTTCCTTATAGTAACTGCAGTTTATAACTATATATCTATTCGCAGAGTTTCTGTTTTTATCACCAAACTATTGGCTCTGTAGCTGAGACCATATCTAATTTGTTCACCGCAGGAGTCCCAATAGCTATCTTAGTACCTGTCAAGGAGTCATCACTCAGTAATTGCATGCTCCTACCCAACTTGGCCCTTGTATTATAGTAAAGCTGAGGTATATCCACCTTGACAGTTCAAAGGGAGTAACAATATAAATGAAAGGACATACATAGAAAAAGAAAACAGTTCAGAATGGTTTAGTGTCATTGAACCAAGGGATGACTAAATATCCAGAACTGTACATCAATCAGGCAGAGCAATGCTTTCATCTTTATGAATAGAAAAGAAAGATCATTCTATTCAAAATGAGAAAGTTTATTTATTTTTAGTCATGTTATTTGAAGGAAAATGTTAAGAATCATTTATTATTATGGGGGGATGCACATGGCACAGTACATATGTGGAGGTAGAGGACAACTTTTGGAAATCTGTTTTCTCTCCTTCCACCATGGATTCCAGGAATAGAATTCAGGTTGTCAGGCTTCACACAGCAAGCGTTTTGGTTTTTTTTTTTTTTTTTGCCTGCTGAGCCATCTCACTAAGCCCATTTGAAGGAAATTTGTTCCATTGGTAAAGTGCAATTAAAAATAATTTCCGAACTTTAATACTTGGTGTTGATTTTGACAATTATCTGCTAAGAAAGAAAGAAATGTTTAAGTGAATATGCTCTTGAGAAAACGATGCATCAAAGTGTGTGTAGGATGTTGTTAAATGTGCTGGGAAGGAAGAAGGAATAAGAGGACAGCTACATAGAAGATAAAAAGATGGACAGACAATGAAGAGGCTGTTGTTTGAATGGAGGTGAAGCCAATGAGGTTTGGGGTGCTGGGAATCAAACTCAGGGCCTCACACATGCTAAACACGAGCTCTTCAGCATACCTTTAAAGAATTCAGCTTGCCTTTTGGTGCTTTTCTGTATTTTAAGTTTTTCATTAAATGAAGTCTACGTCACGTTCACACTGAAGTGATAGGATAACATCTTACAAAGTTACAGTCAATAAAGAGTGTGGGTAGAATATAGTCTTATTCCTGAATACTTAGAATTTTTCTTTAACTTGCCTAAATTTGTTCTCAGTGTGCCTATGTTAGTGTGAAGGCCAGCTGGATCTCTGTTTATGTGTCCATGACATGAGTTCCTGAGTTCTTTGAGGGTGGAAACCTTTGTGTTTGCCTTTCTAGTATCACTCCCGGCAGTAAAGCATGTTTGTTGAATGAGTAACTTCTGAAACTGAGATGTCCTGACCGTTTATTGTCTCTGACCTATGCACCTTTCTTCTTTCAGAACATAGAGTGAGAACCGTAATGAACGGTCATATTTCTAACCATCCCAGTGGGTATGGAATCTACCCATCGCAAATGAAGTAAGTTGAAAGGTTTCTGTGTATTTGGAGGGAGGGATATGATTTGGTGGTGTTTATTTAAAAGACAGGATCTTACTGTGTATGTAACACAGGCCTGGAACTTGCTCTGTTGTCTGAACTGATCTCAAGCTCACAATCCACTTGCCTGGACCTCCCAAGGGATGATATTTTAAGCATGTCCACCATATCCGGCTAGTTCTTAACATATTTTTATTAAAGTTATTTATTTATTTTATTTTAGGTGTATGAATGTTTTTCTGGCATGTATGTAAGCATGCCTATATTGTACAGTGCCGCAGAGGCCAGAGAAGGTATTGAATCCCTTGGAGCTGGAGTTACAGACAGTTGTTAGGCACCAATAGTTTGGTGCTGGGAATCAAACTTGAATCCTCTGCAAGAGCAGTCATCTTAACCACTGAGCCATCTCTCCTCTAGTTCTTAACATAGTTTTAATGAAAAGATTAGTTATATTTCTTTGTACAGTCCATTCCTTATTCATTCATAAGTAGTCTCCTTTTTAATTATTAACCCATGATATCATTAAAAGCTTACTGTATGTATCTGGTACAAATGAGACAGCTGAGTAAACACCAGCCCCCAGCTGCAGGCATACTGTCACATAGTGGGAAGATATCTCAGTCTGGAACTTTATGTTTTATTGCTTTTTGCAATCAAAAGCATAGTGTACTGAAGGGCTTTGGATGTCCCTGGAGCATTCTGTGGTTATTCGTAAGACAACTGAAGAGTGTTCAGTGATCCTTCAGCCACTAATCTAGATATTTACCATTGTGCACAGCAATTTCATAAAAAAATCAGGTGAATAGAACCATCCCCAAAGCTCCTGGTATAACCTGAAACCACAGCCTTGGACTGAGTGGCTGCTGTCTTCTGAAGCTTTCAGAGGTGTGGTCTGTGTTCCCTCACCCTTCCATGGAAAAGCTTTCAATCTGTAAATTTCTGCAGTTATTCATCCATCCTAGGTGTGCCTCATTGAGTGAATATTCCCCTCCCTCCCTCCCTCCCTCTACCCCTTCCTCTCATCCTTCCTTTCTTTTTCTCTTCTTTTTTTGAGATAGGGTCTCATTGTTTATCCTTGGCTGACCTAGAACTCACTATGTAGACTCAATTAGCTTCAAACTCACACAGATTTGCTTGCCTCAGCCTAGTTATATGATAAAGCAGGTCAAATGTGCTGATAAAATGTTATTTAGGTTAACTATATACTATTTGTAAAAATACTGTTTATTCTATGATAGCTTCTACCATTGAGAGGCTGTTGTAACTGTGTTACCACTCAGAACTTGACTGAGTAGGGAAAGTTATATTCTACTAAGGTGGCTGGTGGCCAGCACTGGTGAGTTCTCTTGGCTGGAGTTCGGACTTGGCCTTGAGAGGACCTGAGACTTAACAGTAACCACAGTTGTCCTTGGCAATTTCTGTTTATTCACCACTCCCCAGAGCTGGATCTTGTTCCTGTTGTCAAACTCAGTCAGTATAAACTCGGTATGTTTTTTAAAAAAATACCTTGTGATTATGGTACATTGACATTTTCTATTTCTCACTATGCATTTTTATGACCCTTGCTGGACTTTAACTTGACAATGACTTATTATATTATTATTATTATATTATTATTATTTATTATTATCACAGTGGCTACGGATCTTCACCTGCATTTTCCCAGATGGACAGAGATCACAGTGCAAAAACAAGTGCAAAGGCCCTTTATGGTACGTTGGTCTATTTGATAGGCTGATTCTGTGCCTAACCACTTCTTACAGCTTGATTTTCAGTGCCATGGTTCAAACTCATACTGTGCTTTTATGGTTTGAAATGCAGCAGCGCTGCCTAGATATTGGTTATGTTTGCATCTTCACAAAACCCACGCTGTGAACTCTGCTTCTCCCACGTGCCCCAGAACTCTAAATGAAATGAGCTGAATGCTTTCAGAGGTGCTCGGCACTGAGGTTTTTCCCATGTGTTATTTGTAATATGAGTGCTGACCTCTGTGGCCAGTGCATCTGATAATTGTGGGCCCACAGATAACACCTTTTCCCTCAGAGCTCTTGAATTTTCTTGAGTATGACTGAAATCTCCTCCTGATAAAATTTCTTCCTGGATTGCAAAATAATCAAGCTGTCTCTCTAATACTTCCAGTAGATTTTGTAGTTTGCCTTACATGTACATAATAATTTTTTTGAGACAGAGTCTCATGTATCTCAAGTGGCCTTGACCTGTGTGGCTGAGGGTGACCTTGAATTTCTAATCGTCTTGCTTCCTCCTCCTGAGTCCTAGGATTACAAGCACTTACCACCATGTCCAATTTATGCAGCACTGGGGATGGAACCCAGGATTTTATGCATGTTAGCAAGCAATCTACCAACTGCAACATCCCCAACAAGCCCATATAAAACTTAAGATAGCCGGGCATGGTGGCGCACGCCTTTAATCCCAGCACTCCAGAGGCAGAGACTAGCAGATCTCTGTGAGTTCAAGGCCAGCCTGGTCTACATAGTGAGTTCCAGGCCAGCTGGGGCTACAGGGAGACCCTGTCTCAAGAAGACCCCCCCCCAAACAAACTTAAGATACACTACAAGTCAACAAAAAAGAAATTGAGGACTTTGGAATTATTTCAGACATGTTTAAGAAGGTTTTTGTTTGTACAGGATCTTCATGGCCTTTGATGATTACATAACTGTCAAGAATCAGATAGCAAGGGGCTTAATAACAAAGGTTGTGGAGCACGAATTCTCATGTTCAAATGCAATTCTTCCACATAGCAGCCTAATGACCTTGGGCAATTACTTCAAGTCTTTGACCCTAAGTTCATCTTTATTATGTTGCTGTCTGATAGTGCTCACATGATAATTAAGTGATACAGTAAACTGTTTAGGAAGTGCTATGTAAGTAGAAAAGTTCTGTATATATTTTCTATTTTTTTTAATGCGCTGTAGGAAGGAATCACGTTTCTAAGTTTTGGAATTACTTGATGTTATCTAGATTTATACCTCTGTAGCTATGATGACATGTAACAATCCTAAAGTTCAGTGATACTTCTTTTTTGCGGTATTCTTAGAGAGTTGACTTTTTAATGCAAATAATATATTCATAAAATGGATTTAATATCATACATGAATATTTTTTCTTAATGGCTGTGACATTGTGACTAACATTGTTTTCAATTTTCTTTGTACCATATTGAGACATTCCTTTTTTCTTAGTAAATTAGTTCTTTAACAATTTCATACATAATATGCTCTCGTTACTTGCCCTTCAAATTCTTATCAACCCCCTACCCCCTCATCCTCCTTACAAGTACCTTTTCCAGGTTCATGACTTTTGCTTTGGTTTTGTGACCCATTTAGTTTAACCAGGACCATCTGTGTGACCACTGGATTGAAACTATCCATTGGAGCCTTATGGGGTCACTAGTGGGTACACAACTGACTCCCTCTCTCCCTGATTCTATCAGTAGCAAATAGTTCACACATTGAGCAGATCCCCTGAACCCCTTCTCCACCCATGCCTGGCTGTTGATGGACTCAGTCTTGTGTAGCTCCAGTGCAGGCATCTGTAGTTGCTTTGAGTTCCTGATTGCAATGATTGTGTCCTGCCCAGAAGATGGCATTTCTGAGCCTTTCTCTCTGTCTTCTGGCTTTCCACATTCTCCTCCCTCTTCTGCAATGTTCCCTGAGCCTTAGAGGGGGATGTTCAGGGCTCAGCACTCAGCCTTTTTTATTCTTAATACTTTGTGCGTACAGTGTTTGTGTTTTTGCGTTCACCGACATTCACTGGTTAAGGTTGAGAGTACTATTTATCTTCAGGTACGAACCATATCGAGACAGTCTTACCATGGCCTAGTTACTTGTGGCTTGTAAACATGGAGAATGCATTCAGTAGATATCTCTTTTGTATTAATGTGCACTCGTAACAGAACTAGTAATGCTAGATTCCTGACTCTAAGGGATCTTGAAGTCAACTGAAGAAATGCAGTGGAGAGTTTTTAATTTTTTTTTAAAGAATAATATAATTCCTTTGATCATTTCTAAACGGAGATCTTTAAGCCCATGAGCTTGCTAGACCATGCTTATCATTATGTCTATTTCCATGTTTTTAGTCATTTCAAAGATAAATAACAGATTATCATTGCTTATGTGCATTTTGGCGACATAGCCTAGCAGAAACAATTCCCAGACACATATGACCACCTACCCCAACTGAACCAAGAGGATAGAAAGAACTTAAATAGATATGTAATGATCAATAAGATTGAAACAGTAATAGAAAGTCTTCCAACAAAGAAGAGCCCAGGAATGTATGGATTCATTTCTGAAATCTATTGGCCCTTTAAAGGAGAACACACACCAGTGTTCCTCAAACCGAGGAACCAGAGTAGAATGGGGGGGAGTACTCTTACACTCATCTTATTAAGCTGTTATTATTCTATGATAAAACTGGATCAGAGCATAAGAAAAGTAAAACTATAGATCGATTTCCTTGGTGAACATGGCTACAAAATTTCTTGATGAAGTACTTGCAAAATAGAATTCAGAAACACAAAAAAGATCATAATCTGGGGCTGGAGAGATGGCTCAGTGGTTAAGAGCACTCGTTGCTCTTGCAGAGGACCTGGGTTTGAATCCCAGCACCCACATAGTAGTTAACCACCATCCGTAACTCTAGTTCCAGGGGAATCCAATGCCTTCTTCTGACCTCCATGGGCATTGCACGGTACACATGCACTTCAAATGAACATTCTTCAGCCATAAAGAAGACTACAAAGCTGTAGCCAGCATTTCCTGAATACGTTTCTTCCAAAATCAAAATCTAGACCAGATATCCATTCTCTGCATTCACATTTAATATAGTGTTTGAATCCATAGACAGATCAATAAGATAAGAAAAGGGAGTAAAAGAGTTGCAAGTAAGAAAGGAAAAGGTAAGTTATTCTTCCTGCAGATGATATGATCCTATCACATGACCCTAAAGAATAACCAGCAGGCCTGAGGGCTGAGATGCAGTGCAGGGAGCTCTTGCAATAGGAGCTCAGGGTTGTGGATGACCACAGGGAAATAGAGTTTTCTAGACAGATGGTCAGTTACCTATATGAACTCACAGCAGTGGTGACAGCATGCACAAGTCTTATGAAAGCTCAAACCAGACAAAATCTCAGCATGGAAATGGGGAGTTGGGTAAGAAATCCTAACCCTAGCTTAGGAACTAGTGACAGCCAATAGCTGCTGGGAGAGGGAGAATCCATCTTCTCTAAGGGTGTGATGCTGAGTAGGTTAACCAGACTCTAGTGGATGGACTCACACTGAAGGGCATCTGGGGATACAGATTTGATTTGATGGTGGTATTAACGGTAGGGGATCTAAATATGATGAAAATCTATTGTCTGAAATTTTCAAAAATTCAATAAAATGAAAAGAATTCTAGAAACAGAACACCCTAAAGACTCTGACAGAAAACTCTTAGAGCAGAATATAAAATCAACATACAAAGGGACTGGAGAGATGGCTTAGTGGTTAAGAGCACTGAATGTTCTTGCAGAAGACCCAGATTCAAATTCTAGCACCCACATGGCAGCTAACACAACCATCTGTAACTCCAGTTCCAGGGGATCCGATGCCCTCCACAGGCATTGCATGACATAGGTACACGTGCATACATGCAGGCAGTATACTCATACACATAAGAAATAAAAAAATAAACATAAAAACCTCCAGTAACTTT